ACATACACACACACACACACACATATATATATATATATATATATATATATGATGAACACAAGAGAACCTATATACACAGATACAAACACCCAAGTACACGTGAAATTGCATCTCAAAACCACGAGAGCTTACCAAAATTGGAATTGGCGTATTCGGACTCCCTTTGATTTCTGAAGGGTGCTGCAGTGGGGTCAAAAGGCTTTCCACTTTCGGCAGCCTTCCGCGCCTCATTCGCCAGCTTTTTCATCTGGATGAGACATATACTTGAAGATGTTAGGCCGATGTGATGGATAAAGCATCGTTCTCATGTGCATTGTAGTGTTGTGTGGGATACACGCTTCTAGCTATTGTTATGGCGAACCCTCACTGGGATCTGGCTTAGGATGAGCCACATACGATTCACAATGGGACCTGTGTTGTTCTCTAACGCGTTCCTACGCTGGTGACAGTACATTTGTATTCTTCACATCTAGAAGTACGATTTAAACGATTGGGTCATAGCACCAATAAGCGTTAAGCCACGTCCAGGGCATTCCGTATAGACTCTTAACCCTAAAGCTCGATGTCCGAACCAGTCTGTCTGTAATGTTGCCCATTTGAGGTCGCCAGACGAAAGAGTTACAGGCAATTGGGGTATCGCTGATAATGTGCACGTCCATAGTAGTGGTAATGGTAGGCTATATTCTGCATATTGGAGTGCTCCTAAGTACAGTAGGGCTCTGAGTACTGTTCGTGACCGATGAGCATACTGATTCGAATGATTCAAAGTAAGATTACCAGATGTTTCCAGCTATTTGGCACGAGATGTGATGATTGAGATATATCGTCCAAAACATTTTTCCAATTTCGACACCCAGGATACACACTTCCCAATTCTGGAAAGGCACTAAAACCCTTTGTTTCCCATTCGTACGTATATGCAAAACGTAATAAAGACTAGAAACACACCTGCCTACCATTCGTACGTATATGCAAAACGTAGTAAAGACTAGAAACGCACCTGCCTACCCATCTGCCACATCTGGCGGTAGCTGCCAAAGTTCAGGATGAAATGAACCAGCGCCAGACCTAATGCAGCCAGCGAGATATAATAGACAGCCATCAGGGCAAAGGGAAAGACCAGCACAGCTACATAGCACCCTGTAATAGGAAACAGAGAGACGTTTTACGGTTAGTATAGCCCCACACAGATACATTGTAACCTTAATAGGAAACCAATGCAAATTTTCTGGATAGATGTTGTGATTAGAAAGTAAGGTAACACAATCACCATTACAAACACAAAAGCACCTTGCAATAGGAAACGAGTACGATATTCCCATCTAAGATATTATCCAGGAATAGTTTTCAAACTGACGGTGTTTTTTAATTTTTAAAGCAGGTCTGACCAATCCACACATGTTATTCAAAAACTAGTATCTCATCCAACTTTGTGGCAGGAGATGATACATGTGAGAAAGCATAGATGCGTTACATGTGATACTAAAACTATGCGGAGATAGACACAGAACAGACGAACAGGCCGCCGAAAGTCAATGCAGAGACAACAAACTACTCAGCTTATGAGCTGTAACAGACCTCATCTTATGAGCTATAATGAAAGACAGACCTCATCTTATGAGCTGTAACAGACCTCATCTTATGAGCTATAATGGACGACAGACCTCATCTTATGAGCTATAATGCATATGAACAACGTATAGAACAGACCTTATCTTATGAGCTATAATGAAAGACAGACCTCATCTTATGAGCTATAATGAAAGACAGACCTCATCTTATGAGCTATAATGCATATTGAACAACATATAGAACAGACCTCATCTTAATAATGCATATGAACAACATATAGAACAGACCTCATCTTATGAGCTAAAATGCATATTGAACAACGTATAGAACAGACCTCATCTGACAAGCTATAATGAAAGACAGACCTTATCTTATGAGCTATAATGCATATGAACAACGAGTAGAACAGACGTCATCTCATCTAATGC